CTCCACGTTTGTCAACCGGGTCAGCCGTGCTAATCCAGCAGCACTAGGCTTGGGACCAATCAACACTCTAGAGTTTTGGGCTTTTAACGCCATAGTCTAGTGTGACGGACACACATGCCGTCGCAAGAATCGGGTAACTCTGGCGGAGGCGGGGCCAGTCCGACCCATGAGGAGCTACGGACAGCCATCGATGACGCCGTCGGCGACGCCAGCACCAGACTGGAAAGGATGGTTGAAGATAAATTGGAGGGCATCATGGACTCCTTGTCTCGATTAGTGCCCGGGGCACCGCCTGCCCGGAGTCCGACCGCGGCGGGCGGCGGAGGAGAGTCATCGGGAGGGGCGCACACCCTTCCGGGCGCTGGGTTTTCGACGGACCACGCGCCAAGTACCGGACGGGGACTCGAGGGAGCGAGAGGACTGCTAGGCCCAGCGCCACGAGAGCACACGCCATCCGAGGGAGGCATCTCGCGAAAAGGCGCCCAAAGCGAGCAGGCCGCATGGTATGCCACATACTCCCACGCCCGGATCCCGCGCCTGAAACAACTAAGCTTTGATGGCCATGAGAAGAACTGACTCATGTTCAAAAACGAGTTCACTACGCAGGTCCAAACATGCGGCATGGAAGGTGCCTTGAATGATAGCAGGGACATTAATTGTGGTACAAGGTGTAGATGATGACGGTATGGTAAGGCAGGGAGTGAGGAGGGAGGAGATTGCCATGTACCGAGTTATGTGGGTATTACTGACCGAAGCGATCTCAGAAAGTGCGACCAAGGTTATGGTGTTTGGTTGCAAATGACCCTCAGCAGCGTGGCGTGCGTTGGAAGAGACATTTTCTCCGTTGACAGGCGGCGAGCAAATATCACTGATGGCAAAGTTTTTCGACGCCCAACAGGGGAAGAACCAGGATCCACAAGTAAGTGTTCTATCAGGAGTTCAAGTCCATAGTGACCAGCCTAGAGTTGGCATTGAACAACCCATCCCAAAGATGCTCGTTTATGCGCGATTCCTCGACGCGCTTTCACCGGAATTCGAAGTTCAAAAGCAACAGTTGCTCGCCCAGAAAACACTCGATGAGGAAGAGATTTTGAGAATATTGCGTACACGGGCTGGGCAACTGAAAGTGGAGGTGACGAAGGGGAAGAGGGAACGGCAAGCGCACCAGGCGTTCGTAGCAGTGGAGGGGAAGGGGAGAGGGAAGAGACGGTCGAAACAAACCAGAGGGGACGAAGAGGCGTACCTGGCCAACGATAAGAAGTCAGTCAGGTGCTACATTTGGTATGGGGACGACTTTGCAAGTGCATGCCCAGAGAAGCTTTGCCAGAGGTGCGGGAAAAAGGGGCACAACGCAAAAAACTGCCCATCGAAATATACGGACGAGACTGCAGTCACCGCAGTCGAGTTGGACGTAGCAGAAGCACTCTGATGATATCTTGATCTGTTTTTGCCCGTGGTGCCTCAGCGTCCCTCCCCTTGCGTGCGTTACTTGCGAATCGGCTTGTTGTCGGCATCTTCCTTTGCGACTGTTGAAATAACAATCATGTGGGATTTGTTTCTTGTGTGTTACGATTCACTCGCTGTTTTCCTTGCGTTTTGATCGGGATAAGAACGCGGTCCACGAAGAAACTCGATGTTGCTGTTGGGGTGTTTGCTGTGCAAGACCGACTCTATTCTGCTGAATGTGTTTGAGACGGTATTGTGAAGGCGTTCTGTTTTACTGTAGTAATCGTCAGGTGCAGACAGTCCAGGCGTCTGTGTGTGGATAATAAATCACTCTTTTTGTTTTCTCTACCAAGCCTCTACCACACACGCCAACCAGCGTACTACAGCTGTGGTACCGCCCAACAGGTTTTGAGCCACGTATAGCGAGGTAGGGAATCATCTCGAGTCAAATGGCGTCATCAGCGCAACAGCAGTCGTCAAATCATCTGCAGCGCGGATATGTCGCGTTCAGCGGAGAACCCGGCCAGTTTGTCGGTTGGGTCTCGCTTTTCCGTGCGCTGATGTACGAGG